ATTAAAGGAATAGTACAGTGCAAATGCCACGTCACTAAATTGAAATTAAATTCAAAATTAAACGGTTGAATGATGCTGGTGTACATGAAGGCAAGAGGTCATCATGCTCAGCAGCCATTAACTCATATGAGGGCCACTATCACCCATTACCGCATCATCCATTAGCTCATATGAGGGCCACTATCACCATCATCCATTAACGCATCACTCATTAACTCATATGAGGGCCACTATGAGTGATGAGTTAATGAGTGATGCGTTAGTGGGTGATGCGTTGATCGCATCACCCACGCGATAATCACCCATTATCGCATCACTCATTTACTCATCACCCATAAACGCATCAACCATTAACGCACCATCCATTAACGCATCACCCATTAACGCATCACCCATTAACGCATCACCCATTAACGCATCACCCATTAACGCATCACCCATTTACCAACCATTGCTGCATCACCTATTAACGCATCACCCATTAACGCATCACCCATTAACGCATCGCCCATTAACGCATCACCCATTAACTCATATGAGGGTTCATCAACAATTAACATTTCCGAACCAACGTAAATTAATGTACTATTTTCAATAAGGTTTTGCTGGCGCTTGCGACAAGGTTCAGCGGCTCATTAGTGGTAGTAAAATATGCTATTTCATGGGTCTTTCAGTTAATACCTTCGAAAAATTCAAAACTTGACTCAGAAGTCACTGCAACACCAGTGAGTGGAGATCGTTAAGACGAGCGAGAGCGATCGACGTTCTCGTTGCCTTGTCTCGTCCAAACGGGAATTAAGTGCCCCTCTGAACAAATACGGCGAGTAGATCATGTATTTCTGCTATACAACTTACAATTACACGTCGGGTGGTTGTAATAAAGAATTTTTAGAAATTGGTGGAGGTATTTTTCTAAATTTGGGTAATGGTTGTCGAAGGAAATTAGGTTCAATTTTACATTTAACATTGATATTTAATTTAACTTCTTATCGTGTCCAGGGACGTGCGATCTAAAATGGTAACGAGTTCAAAACTCCTTCAGTCCTTGAGATGAAAAATTATGGGGGTAAAGTTAATATGAAAACTTGAAGTCTTTTTCAATTGTTAGACTTACATGGGTGATCTTTCAATCAAATTAAAAGTCGTGTAACGCAAAAAGGCGTTTCAATAGACTGTATTACCATACGGTATCTTTACCATATACGGTCAACCATATCCCGTATTGCCTCCTCGTGTTTCTTGGGACCCACCACCGACGATATTGTACCTGCAATCAACCACAATCCCGTATTACCTCTTCGTGTTCCTTGATTCACAACCGACTATTTTGTACCTGTAATCAACCACAATCCCGTATTATACCTTGTCGTATTTGTTCACTTCAGGTTGGAGATCGTCGGCATCTATGCTTGCCACAGCAACAGTGTGTGTGGTGTTAGGAGATTCTGTGAACGGATAGAAAGTGCAAGTGTAACAGCTTTTGTCCTGCATAATTTCAATTTGTGTGGCTATTACTGTTAAATAAGATTCAATACCCGCGAAAATCAGAAAATAATCATCTCTGTGAAATGTTATGATTCCTTACACGCATACTTTTTTCAGGCTGCGGAATTCATATTGCAAATTATTTAATTTTTGGTTTACCTAAATTTATGAACCCAGAGATTTAGTTGTTTGTTGTTACAGAGCATAAAGATTTTTTTGTATCAGATTTTGAACACGACATCAAAAATTGTTACTAAGTTAAATTGTTACTAAATGCGTTTTAGTTAGAGCAACATGGGGCAGCGCGCCCCCCACTTTTTTAAACTAAAATTTTGATGAAATTTCAATTGCTACGAGGTGGTTCTTTGTTTTGTTTAAAGGTACAACTAATGAGGAATTTATGATGTGAATTAGACGCCTATAGAGTTATTTAATTTTTAATGAAACACTATTTTGTAAAAAGTGTCAAAATGGGCCCATTGCCCCACCCCTGGGGCAATGGGCCCATGGGCTTGGGGCAAGGCGCCCACCCTTGGTCCCTTTACCACAATTGCATATTTTTTGTTTAAAAATGATAAAGCAACACTTTACAGTTAAAATAAAAAATGTAATAAAAAATATGACATTAATTCATTTATTAACAACTCAAATAATCATATTCTTAACTTGAAAAATATGCTCTTGGCTTAAAAAATCTATCACTAACGTGAAGAAAAATATTTCGTTGACATTAAAATATATATCCTTGACTTGAAAAATATATCCTTGCGATAAAAAATTTGTCCTTGACATGAAAAAATGTATCCTTGACTAGAAAAAATATATATACCTAATCAGAAAAAACTTCGTTCCAGTTTCTTCCATAGTCCAGATATTATGTGCAGAGAATTCGTACCTAATCGTGATTTCAGCCAACACCATGAAAACTCATCAACTTTTGACATTTGTGTTGAAATTAATTAATTGAATTGAATTAACTTTTAATTAACTGAAATTAACTTTTGGCAAGGCAAGAGTCAATAACTCGAAAAGGCGTCATAAATACGCATAACTAGAAACTAAACCTGCTGCCTTAAGGCGGCAAATTAAAAAATCATGCAATGTGAAGTGTAATTTGTAATTCAAAAAGCTAGTAATAGTTTTGAAAAGGTCATTGAGACAAATCTAATGATGTATAACACAAGACTTCAGCATGGGTGCTTTGCCCCACTAGGTATCATTTCAATTTATATCGTGTCAACATTTTAATTTAAAAGCTAATAGTCTAAAGTTGCTCTCAAAATTATCCCTATTTATATTACTTTTTAAAATATAATTCACAGTAATTTCAAAAGCTTCATCTACAGTAACCAAAAACAGTTTTATTTAGCAGCAAAAAAATTTTATCTTGGCTAAAACAGTTATTCTCAAATAACTTAATAACGCATACACACAGCAAAACATAAATCCGTACACTTCATCCCAGTGAAACTGTCGACCGGCGGTAGAGAACACGGACCAATATCTGCCATACTTAACCCGCTATGGGCTCATGACCCGCATTGGGCTCGCTGCCCCATGTTACCCTACTTAGTTGTGTTATATTAATTATTTATTATTTTAGATCTAGATAATGAAAAACATTGCTTGAAACCAACCAATACAGACTTATTAAAATTGTATTGCTATTAACTATTATTGAGTTCTGGCATGTGGATGTCCTTCTCAATTACCAGTATCTAATTATGTAATTTAGTAACCAGTAATTACTGATCATCCAGTAAAGCCATAAAGCTGTTCTCTCACACGCGAAAATATTTACTAATACTAAATCTCGGGGAATTTTTCGATCATTTTAAACTCCTTCTTTCCAAGTTTGAAAATGTATCGGGCCTTCTCTGAAATTTTTCGCATATACTGTTTTTCTCTTCTCTATCATTTATTTTTCGCTGAATCATGAATGAAATGCAATTGCAATACATTTTTTCGTTATATATATAGGGCGCCGAGTAAAGAGCTAGATATTGGGAAAAATTTGTGAGTGGAATTAAATTTTAGCCCTAAATTTGTGCATTAGATGCAAAAATTACATATTTTTTCAATAAACTGTTTAAATCGCCAGTTCACCAAGAATAAAACAAAAATGATTTAAAACAAAAGGTAGATTTATTATGATGCTTATATTAATACTTAAATTCAATGTAAAATGTGTTCATATTAAAACACAGCAAATTTGCAAAATGTTACTTTATTTTTTTCGCATATAACTTCTTAGATAGGAAATACACTCGCCATTGCGAGTGTCCGTCGCTGAATTCGCTGAATTGCTGCGGTTGCTTTATTACAGTCCTTGGATAACCTATCATTTTGAGCGGTTACAACTGCTTTTAAGTTTTCATTTCATTATTTGTTTTCCTTAACAGTACGTCCTATTTTCCGACATATTTATACTAGTTACTGACCTCAAACTATAATTTATTAATGTTTTAATCTTCTTCGCCTCTTTAGGCACATTGATTTCATCAATTCCAGTCAATATTATTACCGAAATAGGACGTCAAAATAAATTGATTCTCGAAATTTCCCAAATGATAACACCAAATGATGATATGATGAAAATGATTATGATGTGATACGATCGTATCGTATACGATGCGGATGCTTCTCGATGCGATGCGATACGATATGATATATAATATAAAATAATATAATATAATATAATATAATATAATATAATATAATATAATATAATATAATATAATATAATATAATATAATATAATATAATACAATATAATATAATATAATATTATATAATATAATATAATATAACATGATATGATATGATATGATAGGTGATATGCTGCGATATTTCATATCATATCATTTTATTTCACAGTCATTGCCCGTCTTCAAACCTTTTGATAATACATTTCAACCGACAATTATGAGCAGGACGAGCTTATTTATTCTCTACACTGGCCAGACAGTTTCATAATATGATTCAATTTTGTGATACATTGCTATTTCTTTCTTTTCTTCAGCTATTATGCAAGTTTTAGCCGAATGTCCGGTTGAAAACATATACATTTTGACCAAAACTGTCAACTTGAATGAAATTCTGACTATTACCTCCAGTTGTAATATTTTAAAATAATTTTTCTTTTTATAGTGTGAAAATTAAGAGTATTTCCACAAATATTATCAATTAATTATATTATTTATCTTCATACTCCTTATTATCAACATAATTTCAGTCAGGAAGAAACCAAACAAAATCTGTATCAAGCGCCTATTAAAAAAATCAGTAACTATTGCTAATCCAATTCTTTCTCCACGTCAGCAACTAGCAAAGTATGGGGAAAAATGTACCGCATTGTCAAGGAAAATTAAAAATTTATTTAAAAACTGGAAGCAGACCTGGTCCGTATAAATGTAGGGTTGCTTCCGCAAGCACCGTATATAAAAACATACGCTTAAATTTTCCGATATATTCAGTACCCGGAGCTTCAGTAATCGCCGAGGATCCATCGCTGGTGGCCGCCAAACTCTGCTTGAATCTTGCAATGGCGAGTATATATTTTATGTTAAATCATTTAAAATACAACGCAACGTAAATTCAAGGCGAGTATATATTTCCTGTTAAATAATATAAAATAAGACGCAACGTAAATTCAAGTCGAGTATATATTTCATGTTAAATAATTTAAGATAAGACGCAACGTAAATTCAAGTCGAGTATATATTTCATGTTAAATAATTTAAAATAAGACGCAACGTAAATTCGAGGCGAGTATATATTTTCTGTTAAATAATTCGATCCTGAAAATATATATATATATATATATATATATATATATTCCGGGACTTGTCCATTATCTCGAATGTTTCACAATTAAGCTTTAAATATTTTTTTTCGGAATAGTGGCGAACAGTAAAAATGTATCATCTTTCTACGTTTTTTTCTTTATTTTAGCAATTTCATTTGTTTGCAGAAACTGTTTACGGTAGGGCGTATAAGATGGAGAATATAATAGAAGTATTTAAGTTTTTGACATCTCGTAACGCCCAATCCTACTGTGATGAAATAGTTAGACGAAAAGCGGGAAATAAATTAATGCTGCCGTAGAAGTTGCCTTTAGTCAGTAAAGGTCAATTTAGGGATTTAACGACCATAGTTAATTTGATGGGTATTATTTATGTTATAAATAATATTTTTAATTTATCTAACAAAAATATGAAACACCAACGAATTTTGGCCGCTGATTATAATTCAATTAGCTCCAGCATTAAAAATCTTTATGCTCTCGAATGATTCCCGAGACAAAAAAATCTTCTTACGTGTGCAAATAATTATATTAATTGGAATAGTTTTCCTGTGGCTAAAAAATTTTATATTCCCGTGCCAAAAAGTGTGCAAATAATTATATTATTCGGAATAGTTTTCCTATGGCTAAAAAATTTTATATTACACGTGCCAAAAAAATTGTCCGATCATTCAGAAAATATTATTTCATAATTTTCGAGACCATTGAATGTAATTTCGCTTTAAACACCACACAAAGTGTACAGGAAAAAAGCTGTAAGATTTGCTGTTACTAACCTTTTACAGAATCTCGTACCAGCACTCACACTGCTGCTGTTGGCAGTGGCAGGCATGGCTGCCGACGACCTCCAACCTGAAGTCGAACAAATACAAGGTAATACGGGTTCATGGTTGAACAATGAACGCACGTACAATATACTTGTAAGTGTGACCTCTACAGTTTAAGAAATTGAAATTTGTGAAAATTTTGGAATTGAAGTAAAGAGAAATTAATTACTCGCTCTTAAATCCATACAAATATATATCTAATGCAGCCAAAAGTTTACTGAAAGCTGTATGGAAATTCAAGATTTTTCTCACCGTATTTGCTCAGAGGGACGGTTCCTGGTCGGACTTAAGGCAACGAAAACATCACTTTCACTCGCCTTCTCGACCTCCACTCAGACGTGTTTCCCACGTGAGTTCTAGAGCAAATTAAATACTATTCAAAGGCAACAGAGCGATTCATGAAAGAACAGTCCTCACAATAATTAATTAGTGAACTGCAATACGATGTCGCAAGCGCCAGCATAATCTTGTGAAAAAGTTGATTGATATGGCAAGCGCCAGCAGAACCTTGTGAATAAATATGGCAAGCGCCAGCAGAACCTTGTTATGAGCCTCAGGTTAGGTTAAGTTTTTGTACGAAACTCATTGCGGTAAGGCATCGAAGAACGAAAGGTTAACATTGTTTTGTATTTAGTTACAGCTACCACCACCACCACCACTACAACAGACGATCGCCGTGGGTTTCGTCGCTCTGCACGAAAACAATTCAAAACCAAGATTGCGGAACTACCCGTTATGGCGGCGGATGAACTTGCAGGGTCTCTGCTAGAAGACTACTTTCCAATTGAGGACAGGGGCGGGAAGTTTCTGAAACTCCTCCCGGCTATAACTTTTAATTATATAACTCAGTCAACAACCACTATCCTTTCTGTATCAACGACCGTCCTCAACGCACAGCAGTTCAGTTCCTTCTTCAATAATCTCCCGAACGGCGTCTTCACGGCATGCGTTGCTGGATGAAAATGAGGGAAATGATGAGATCTTCGGCGCTGTGCAACTTTAATCACAGTATTTATCCACACAGCTTGGTTCAAGTAACCCGATCATATTGCTTTTCATTCACAGGATAAGGTACTAACCAGTTTTTTACTGCAAATATAGTTGCTTAAGTTGCCCCAGGTTTATTAACTTTATTAATCTGCGCATATTGGTCTGCATTAACCAATATACAGAGTGAACCAGAAATAACTGACCCTTTTAATTTGTTAATAAATAAAAAACTAAGAACAGAATGAAGTTGAAACCTGTTTTATTTAAAAGAAGAACATTTTTATGGTAATATTGTATCCTAGTTTTTAGGATACAATAACTAACTAGGATACAATATTACACACAATATTTTAACTAATACATATTATTAATACATAATAAATATTTTAACTAATACAATGATAAAATATTGTAATAGGATACAATATTTTAACTAGGATAAATATTACCATAAAATGTTCTTCTTCTAAATAAAACAAGTTTCAACTTCATAACGTTCTTAGTTATTTATTTATTAACAAATTAAAAGGGTCAGTTAATTCTGGTTCACCCTGTATAACACCATTTCACTCATATACTCATGAATTATGTTGTTGCGGCGAGGAACACAGATATAGATCCGAATATACTATCTCAATATGTTTCGCACTTAAAACGTCTCAAGATCGTGAAAATTTATATAAATATATTGGTTTAATTCGGCAGAAGTTCTTTCTTTATATAAGACTGATGACACAAGAATGTTTCTTATCGAAAATGTTCTGTTTTTTTTTTTTTCAACGAGTCCAACGAAATTTCTTGTTGGCGCTGGAAGTTCAAAAAGCAAGTCGCCAATGATATTGCCATATTATAACAGAATGAGATGTTTCAAATATTCAATAAATCATTCATTATTTCATTTTAACAATGTTATAAAATTACAATTACAATTCATTCATTTTAGTGTGATTGGAATTTTTACAACACCTAAACTTGGAATTTTGAAGTAATATAGGTGCCAAAGATGGGTATAGTGGATACAGATCAAAAATCAAAACTTGAAAATACTCGAAAAATAATTTCGAAGTCCTCGGTGGTTTGTAATTCGATAGCTGGAGACGCGCTCTTAATAAAGATGGCTCAAGATATTGCCAGTCATGAAGAGTCTAGGCACCGCATGACGACGCTGGTGCAGGCGTCGGGGCACCGCATGACGACGCTGGTGCAGGCGTCAGGGCACCGAATGACGACGCTGGTGCAGGCGTCGGGGCACCGCATGACGACGCTGGTGCAGGCGTCGGGGCACCGCATGACGACGCTGGTGCAAGATTCCAGGCACCGCATGACGATGCTGGTGCTGGCCCCATATATAAATTATTGGTGGCGCATCGATGATTATTGGTGGCTTTAGGTGGAATGGCCTCTGTTCCACCTAAAACCTGCCGATGGCCACCTCAACAGAAATGCACTTCTTCCACCAATGAATGCCTCTGGGCACCGATGGCGCATCAATGAGCCATCGATGGCCACATCTCGGAATGAATTTGAAAAAAAGCTGCCTGTAGCACCTAAAGGTTCATTTAAGAACTATCGACTGCCTAATTAGATTCGCATTTCTCTCGTGTACTAATGTATTTACATTTGAAATATTATGAATTGAATGGACGATAGGCTGAAATCATGGCTTCGTATGCATATACTAAGATGGCCTAGATTTTGATACATTATTTATTAAAAGAATTAGTATTCCATTCAAACTATATCATGGACAATCCATGTATACACAAGAGAAATACATATAACAATAAGTTGAAAGATGGTAGTTCATATTTTAGACTAGGTGCTACCGGGAGTATAATAACCCTAATGACAGTAGTAGGACTATGGCTACTCAAACTTTAGCTCTCGCGTAATTTCGTGAAAACATTTGAAACAAGTAACATCAACCTGCTTGAGAGCCTCAATGAAAAAAATACCCAACAGAGAATTATTACAATTTTTGAATAAAATGAGCAAGACATACCATAATTTATTAGATAAGCTCCCAAAAGTCTCTTATGAAATAAATGGAATAGCGAACAGAATTCATAACCAGTTAAATATACATAGAACGAAGAAATACCCGGTTATGCCGGCTATCATACTCCACAAGAACTTGTGATTTATAACAGTAAAACCTCTATAATTATTAAGTTAACCGAGCTAGTCAAAACGCTTCCAGTATTACACTTATATCTGTCGATTTCTACAAGCAGTCAACACTTTCATCTCGCAATTCCCCATGAAAATCATCGTATTATTTCCATGCGAGTCGATGTATCACGTGGTTATGACTGAAATTTAGTTTTAACTGAAGATAAATATGGAGAATTTCCTGCTATTCATGAAAATATATTGCTGCTGCCGCCGGCATCAACTTTTTATTATACCCTCGTTATAGCACCGTACTCGAAGAGAGCTTATATTCCTATCGATATTTTCTCAAATTAGGTGGACTAACTGGAAAGCTGGCACTGCATAATATCAAAATACTACCTGTTATGCAGCATCTTTTAATTGAGCTAGAAACGAGAGTAGATTGTACAGTATTCTCCTATATCAAATTCATTAGCCATTTATAATATAGGTGGGGATAAAAATTAATTATAGGTAGGTAGGTCCTGAAAAGGTGGCAGCTTTTTCGACACCTATCACGTAAGTCGTCCCACAAAACCTGCATTATCCACAAGTAGGGCCACAGACGTTGACCGCGATGGACATGCAGCGAGCGTATCAAAAGCAGCATTTCCAATACGGCCTGCAATGTCTGCAGGCTCGCCTGCTATATGAAGTGGTGATAAGAAGTAACTTGAGGACCTTGTTATGCGATTTGGAGTTACAGTAAGGCATTCGTAGGAGTTGTAAAATTTAAGGTCGACTTAGTCGCTTCCTTCATCTTTTCCCGGCCAGTCTCCAGATTGCTCCTGCAAGACATAAAATAAGGTAATTAATGATACGCGTCCCAAAATATGCAGCAGTTCCTTAGCTTCTCTCGATCACACTAAAAAGGAACAACGTGAAGAATCTTGAGCGAAGAATTAAGATGAAGACTCAATTTTTACCCACCTTTTAGGTCAAATTTAATTCTAAGTTAGGTTCATATAATTCAAATGTAAGTCACAACGCGCTGAATGTATTCAGTCATTTGCCCCGGTGTCCGCTGAGAGAACAACGTACTCTCACCTGAGGAAGTCAATAAAGTTATCTTGCTAGTACTACGTAGTGTCGGCATCGAGGTCGGAGTCGATTTAAGGGCTTAATACTTTCAAGCCACAGGAGTTGGCAAATTAAAAGCAAAATAGAAATGAATTCACTCTCTTTTCACAATTAACTCGACAATTGATATTCTGTTACTCCGGCCCAAGCAGAGTGTGGTTATTTGACAGCTTTGTACATGCATAATTCTGGGATTAAATGAACGAAATGTAAAACAATTATAATTAAGAAAAAATGTTTTTAATGAAACATGCATTTGAGGGATTTAATTTATATGCGAATTATAATTTGGGGCAATATCATTGCCTTACCTATCCAGTCCACATTGAGATTACTTATTATACAGGGTGCTTAGTAATAAATAAATAAAAGACTAGTACAAATATCATTCAATCAATTTAACACATTTTTAATCAATAATAAGCTAGCGGAGCTTGGAAATTTACCTACATGAATCGCGAATCGAATACTGCGGCTTTCAAATCCATACGTATTACTTCACTAGATTTACCTGCATCAGATACAATACAATTACTATCCGTTTAATCATAGTTTTAGTCATTTTTCTATTTTTATTTCCTTTAGGATATAGTTAGGATACGTAAATTAAATTACAAAAATATTCCATGTAAAATAAATTGGAACATATTATGACAAATATCAATCTCCTGGTATATATTCATATATCTCAAAACGTACCTGAATAGGCAAACTGTTCAAGATCCCCAGAAGATCTTCCTCGATGGGCGATGCACTGGGAAGATGTGGGAACAGCTGGTGGTAAGTAGGAGCAGTGGGTCTCATTTTTGGAAGCCGTTGATGGGAGTTTTGCTGTGAAGCATGTAGTGCATGGTCCTTGCCTAGCTACAAGAAATATGAGCAAAAGCATATTAAACCAATCACCTGCACACGTTTGCATGGCGTTTCACGCATAAAGTTCATCACAATAAACATTCTGCATGCAGTAGACTGTGCCATAGACATTAGGGGTTGTAGTAAATTTTCTACTATATGATGGCAGCAGTGGGAGAACACTGGTGCGTAAACTGCACGAAGACTATTTCTGGCATTTTTATGCTAGTTGCTTAATAATTATCAAAAAATATAATAACGTCAAACAAAACTGCTATTGTTATTGAAATATTGAAATAAGAAATAGTGCATGATCTATCATATAATTATAATAATATTTGCAGATCCATGAGCAACCGGAAAATGTCAAGTACCTAAATCAAGAGTACCTAGTCAAGAGTGCCATTGATGGTAAAAAGATTATTTTGGACTTGGGAAATTGCGACTATCATAATAAAAACCTAAAGACAAGTTTCACAATCAAAAGTTCATACAAATTTTGTCTCAGTTCACACTTGCATTGAAATCGTATTTCTCAAAATAACTAAAATTAAAGATTGATTTCCCAGTACAAGTTGAAATTTGACGTGGATATATATGTAACTATATGGACAGAACTGATAGTAGCAGAGCAGAGAGTTTTTTAGACTCTTCCTCAAGTTTAATTTTTAGTCGTATTAGTAGAGGAGCAAATTATCATGGATACCAGGCTTACCAGCATTATCATACATAAGATTTTGGTTTAAATCTTGAATAATTGAGGAAATTAAATGAGTGAGGGATACTGTTACATTTACATTTTATTGGGTTGGAAGGCAGAATAATGAGCCTTCCCTCGAACCATGATGTATTTCTGGACTGTTTGAACTAATTATTTTTACGTTAAATATATGAATTTTATTAGGGGGCAGATGTAGGGGCATGATTTAGGGGCAGATTTGGCCCCTACATTATCACAATCACAATTCGAGCAGGTATATGGTTCCCACAAAAATTTTTATTAAAAGTATACAACTGGAGTCATCACGATTCCATTTACGAGTGTTAATAAAACTTGGTCTGGCCGAATGGAAATGGAATTCCTTATTAAATGCTTTTCTTACTGCATGGTATATCATGGTAATGATATAAAATTTAGGTCTAATATTAAATGATATTGGTAATGATGAAATTCAAAACAGAGCAGCTAACAATAGCCTTACAGTCTTTGCGTTTTATTTTGTCATGGCGGCGACGCCTAAAATTGGCGTCAAGATCACAAGTTCGACGATAGTCTGAAGAGATATGTAATTATGCATTCTCCTGTTTCAAACTCAATAAAAGACTCACTATTAGAAATTAACTTTCGTATGCCAATTAATTTGGTACGCTACACAACAATTATCAATATTATGTTTCAAGAATAGAGTGATCCTAATCTTATTTATGTTAATTAACACTGAAAAGGGCGTCAGCAACATGGCGGCCATCAATAAAGTCAAGATGAGTGTAAAGTGAAATTAAACCTTTCCACGAAAATTGGCATCACATTATATACTTACACGTCAAAAAAATTAGTTCTTGGTGAGTAAATAATATTAGAATGAGAGGAATCACGAATTAATTCAGCTCTAATATAACTCCACATTGCATCAACAGAACTAAGCACCTACAAGCATGTTATGATGACTAATGATTCCAAACGCCGGTGTTTCGGCGAAAACAGAAACGCACAAATTAAAGTATGCCTGTTTTACTCCAAGTTAGTTCGCATATGAGATGTTTTCGAACTTCATATTCATAAAATTTCATAGAATATTAAAATGTGAAATGATTCCATCTTGTATTTTTAGTGATATTCACGGGCTGATTTAAACTTCCGAGTTATTGTGTACACTTGGTGATGTACCCATCACTAGTAAACAAAAAGATATCCGCCTATACCCGATCCAAAATATTCCTGTCCGGCTAGAGGAACCTAAGAAACGCATCGGCGTGATTTAATAATCACGCTGATGCGCTACTAGCAATGCTGCTTTGACCAACCATAAGCGAATGTGGCTTTGGTTGCCTTGCGCAATGATCGCCATGTCAGTGCATGATTATTTCGATTTCGTCAGGTAATAACCTCAAAATATCAGAATGAATTTTTCGTCAGCGGATTTAGTCGATGAATTATCATCGAGCGTGTCCTGCAGGTTCTCTGTCTCACTTATGTGGGGAAACATGATGCAGCGCGCCCCCCCCTTTTTTAAACTAAATTTTTGATGGAGTTTTAATTGATACGAGGTGGTTCTTTGTTTTATTTTAAGGTACAACTAATGAGGAATGTATGATGTGAATTAGACGCCTATATGTTTATTCAATTTTTAATGAAACACTATTTGGTAAAAAGTGTCAAAATGGGCCCATTGCCCCACCCCTGGGGCAATGGGCCCAAGGGCTTGGGGCAAGGCGCCCACCCTTGGTCCCTTTACCACAAATGCATATTTTTCGTTTAAAAATGAAAAAATAACACTCTACAGTTACAAATGAAAAAATGTAATAAAAAATATGACATTCACTCATTCATTAACAACTCAAGAAATCATATACTTATCTTGAAAAAATATACTCATGGCTTAAAAAATCTAGCACTGACGTGAAGAAAAATATTTCATTGACATAAAAATATATATCCTTGACTTGAAAAATATATCCTTGCGATAAAAAATTCGTCCTTGACATGAAAAAAATTATCCTTAACTGGAAAAAATATATTTAGTTGATCAGAACAAAAATTCGTTCCAGGTTCGTCCATAATCCAGATATTATGTGCAGAGAATTCGTACCTAATCGTGTTTTCAACCAACACCATAAAAACTCATCAACTTTTGGCTCATTGGTGTTGGCTGAAATCAACTTTTGGCAGGGCAAGAGTCAATAACTCGATAAGGTGTCATAAATACGCATAACTAGAAACTAAACCTGCTGCCTTGAGGCGACAAATAAAAAAATCGTGCAATATGAAGTGTAATTTGTAATTCAAAAAGCTAGTCATAGTTTGAAAAAGTCATTGAGACAAATCTAATGATTTATAACACAAGACTTCACCATGGGCGCTTTGCCTCGTGACACGCGTGGGCCCGTTGCCGCACTAGGTATCATTTCAATTTATATCGTGTCAACATTTTATTTCAAAAGCTAATAGTCTAAACTTGATCTCAAAATTATCCCTATAAATATTAATTTGAAAATATAGTTCACAGTAATATCAAAAGCTTCATCTACAGTAATCGAAAAAAAATTCATGTAGCAGCAAAAAAATTTATATCTGGACTAAAACAGTTATTCAGAAATAACTTAATAACGCAAACACTTAGCAAAACGTAAATCAGTACACTTCATCCCAGTGAAACTGTCGACCGGCGGTAGAGAACACGGACGAATATCTGCCATACTTAGCGAGAAACCCGCTATGGGCCCATGACCCGCAGTGGGCTCGCTGCCCCATGTTACCCTATACAAGAAGAAATGAAAGATTTAAGACCATGATATTCTTTTATTTATGCCGTGATATGTTTTTATTCTGAGTTAGTTGAAGATGATGTTTATCAATTAACTACGTTCTAGAGTGAAATAAACCATAATGGGGAATGAAATTATAGAATATATTTTATAAGAACCGTTTGATGCATTTCAGCACGCTCTATATACGTTTCATAGTTTAATAATATTACTTCAAATTCAGTTCACCGTAATTAAGTTTCATTGGTGGTGTTTGAGCAATGATAAAGAGATGGCCACTCGTGGTAAAACTATATTGTACCATCAATTAAAAGGACTCTATAAATCATCGATGATTCATCGATGAATGACACCTATACTCGCACAACCTCTCAATTTTCGGTGTTTTACCGTCAAATTTTGGCAGATTTGGCCACCCGCAGGTACGCCACGTATAATCTACCATCGCCGCCTAAAATCATCGACGCACCACCTTTGGGAACGGCATTTTTTAATTCTAAAAACTGCATTACACTTCTCAGTTTTTATGTGCGATTGGTGGATTGCAAATTCCCGGGCAAGATGATTTGAGACCTGACCGACATATCAAGACATTATCCAGTAGCGGTCATGCGGTGATACTGTTGCGGGAGAGGGGGCAACACATATGGGCTACCCCAACGGGATAGTTAGATAGAATGAACAGACTATAAATGCAAGCATGAACTATATATTTAACGATCAATATGTATAAATAAACAGGCAATTTCATGAGAAGTACACCAATAATCATATGTAGCCATCAGATCGGAAATGTCAAGTTGAACTAAGGTAATATTGAACATTTAATTTGGCTGGGCCTATCCATAGTCACCGGTGTTGTAGCAGAGAGGAAGTCACAGTTCAGCGAAATTAGCTTCAGTCAAATCTATTCAAGGTGTTGGATTCTAGCGGAGGAGCGCAGCGCTTGCCGAGATTACAACTTGACTTCTGTCCAACGTTGCAAACAAGTTGCAGCTTCCTTCTACGCTGTTCGACGAGTGTGAGAAATGTTCCAACCATCGACCAAGTCCTGGCGACGTACAGTGCCGGAAGCGTTACCGTCTTGAGACTGGCACTTAAGCTCCGATTGCCTGCAGCCGCACCCGTCCATGGCCGACAGTTGAAGTAATCAAAATACAATAACTTGGTTATGAATGAATGGTTGACCAATTACTGCGTCCTGCCACGCCCGTCCAGGCAGGCGGCTCCATCGAGAGTGAGCCAACCCCGGCTCAGGTCCAATTTCAGCTCCGAGTAATGCGTCGGAAAGAAAGAAAGAAGAGCGCGAACGACAGAAAGTCGGACCGCTACATTCCTCCCCCCCAAGACGACGCACTTACTCGGCACATAAAGAAAATCACATGTGAAAAATTCAATGTCAGTGAAGGATGTAGGCCCCCAGCTGACAAAAACTATACACTCAAAATTGAACATTATGACCGGGCAGTACCGGCACTAAATCCAAATACAAGAAGATTCGAAAGATTCACAGGAGACTAATCGCTCCTGTTACAAGAAAATCGATAACACGTCAACAAAACACGGACATAAGTAAGTCGCAACTTCCAATTTTACACAAGTCAGGTTATACAGTTTCAAGAAATTTCACAGGTCACGTTAAATCGAGCTGACACCAGAACAATGCAATTAGGAATGGCATATGCCAGGATCAGAATCATTGAACTACTCATAAAGTTACTTTTACAGCTTACTTCGGAAAATGACGGGCATCACATCTGTCAACAACCCCGGCAGAATAGCGTGGATCTAGCAATTCGCAAGTCACACGAGCTATAACGGTGAAAAATTGAACAGAGCTTTACGAGCAATACACGCAATATTGCAAATTTACACAAACCATAGTAGTCCGCTCCGAACGAGACTAAGGCATAATGCCTACGACAAATCATCAAGGGTTCACAGAGGCAAAAATTTCGTTAAATTACATTAAACCTCAGGTCAAGGAAATCACAGTAAAGAAGGTTATCACATCATGACATTCTTCAGAATAGAGGCACATTTACAAATTAATCATGTTAGATATTGAACATTAGGCATGGCCATAAAAGTGGCCTGGAAGATCAGAGGTCAGAGGAAGAAAGAAAGAAGAAGAGCGCGAACGACAGAAAGTCGGACCGCTACAATACGCAGTGAAATTGATAAAGAAATACTTTCCAAAATCACTTTAATAATAATGCCTACTGAATCTTGTTAGGTCCATTATGTTTTGTGTAAAAGACTTTGAGAACTTTGTTTGGATATTCCATCACGCGCCACCATGGCAGGATAAGATCGAACATTTCATGACGTACGGTTTCTAGAGAGAAATGACAAATACTGTATACATAAGAAAAATGTATAAGAAAAAAGGTACGCTATTTACACGAAATAATAAAATATAACTTAAGATAAATCAACAACAATTAAACAGGATAATGAATAATTTACGAAATCAAACAATAAATCGAACGAACCGAATAGTTTGGTTCCTCGATCTGGTAGTGCAGGCATTCGTATCTAGGTCTAATAATGAAGGCTGTGACGCTTGCGAAATTACCTGCGTCGAGTAGACTAATACTATTGCTGGAAATTTCAGAAAAGTGGCAAATGGCGGCTACACATCCAGCCCCTATAAATTATTTAGCCTTTATACATATCTAACTTCACACAATAAGATAAGCTTAACAACAAGTCTCTCTATTTCGATAGTTTTGAAATTAGTGTTCTCTGTATCCTTATTTTCAGCATTCTTAACCATAGGAGAACTAACGTTGCCAGCATTATCTGGATAGCCTTCAGTCACTCTATAGGTAGACACCATAAACTTCGAGGCAGTAACTGATCTACGACGAGAACCAAATAGTTAGGCTGAAGTGAACGGCTGCTTCTCGTCCACTTCTGTCTCTCCTGAAGTAGTGGCAAATACCGCTTGCGCCATCTAACCCAAAATAAGTCGGCTAGATACTGAACTTGTTTCCATCTTCTCTCAGTGAAAACGCGAAGGGCTAAGATAACATATGCTTAATATGAAGATCCAAATTTTATTTAATAAGGAACAAAAACTGTCACACAAATATTGAAAACTGGAGATAGATTGTGGCCCCCGCTCGAATGAGGTCCGTGTCGCACCCGTGCAGTCCGACGATCGGGAAGCTAAGGGAATACGACAGAGGTTTCATCTCTCGTTTTAATTATGGGTTTAAAGTAATGGTTATAATATAAGTTATATAGCTAAAGCCATATAGTTAAAGAATTTCGTATAGTAATGTTATTGTTACAGTTATATAGTAATAGTTATAGTTATATAGTAATAGTTATAGTCATTGCGAATGACATGTATTTCCTGGATTTATCAGATAGCAGCACGCACCCCCCCCCGATCACAAGCTATCAACTGTGACAAGTCACACAGCTCATCTCTGACCAATTGCGCACGTCAATCCTCGGGTTGGTTCCATGCTGGTCCCGCGCGGTAGGGCGACAGACGTCAGGCAGGGGTGACAGACGGCAGGCAGGGCGACAGACGTCAGGCTGGGCGACAGACGTCAGGCAGGGCGACAGACGTCAGGCAGGGCGACAGGCGTCAGGCAGGGCGACAGACATCAGGTAGGAAACTGCTGACGCTAGATCGTAGCAGCTCGGAAAATGCACGACTGAATTTACGTGGCGACGTTGGAACCAGTACGAAGGTAAACGTTTCCCCAATACGTGAACAGGCTGCAGCTGGGAATTAAGTGAGACTGTATGAATGTTACCCTAGCACATGATCAAGGTGCAGAGTGCTGCTTCTGACTAACACCTGAACCCAATAATCAATTGCCTAAGACTATCTATGCATAGTTAATCACTGAGTTAAATGTTGCTAAAGTTTGCGACCGGAACGTGCAGTGGCAGGTCGCACCCGAATCTTCGAGCCAAATGAGGCAGTTTCAGGTGACTGAAAACAACTTTTCTTGTCGATCATAAAGGTCACGTTCTACTTGACGTACTAGTATTGTTTTAGACATCTCTTGACGTAAAGATCATCTCGCGAAAACAATCCAGAAGGGATAGTTACGCCTGAGTGCAGAAGAATCAGATGATTGGGCGTGAGAGTTTCTAAGTCTGATGGGTCGTTCGTTAGTTTGGTAAGCGGTCGTGAGTTGAAAATCACCTCAACTTCGTAGAATAGCATATTCAATTCTTCGCCGTTCAGTCGAACAGGCTGCTCCTTCATCAAAGCGTTGAGGGTTTTCCGAATGGTTCTGGTCTCGCATTCCCAAACACCCCTGAAATGCGAGGCCGACGTACGGAGGTTGAAATTTCCAATCGATTGATCTTTGTTTCATCAAATTATTCACAACGCTCTTATATACAATTTTTAATTTCTTCGGCCATCTCTTTATTTCCCGAAGTGAAATTGGTTCCGTTGTCGGAGCGAATGATCTTCACATTACCCCGTCTTGAAACGAATCTCCTGAAGGCATTTACAAATGAATCTGTGTCAAGAGAAAATGAGATTTCAATGTGAAATGCACGACTGCTTCAACAGATAGATATTACAACATACCGTTTTTCCGTTCGTCGGCCTTTCGTGACCATGAAGGGAAATAATCTATTCCGACGTTGGTGAAAGGCGGATGATCCCCCGTTACTCGCTCGCTGGGAAGATCCGACATCAACTGCTCACCTGGTTTTCATTGCAGCCTTCGGCATATCACACATTCACGCAGCAATCTTCTTACCAGAGTGTGAAGGCCCACAATCCAGAACTTACGGCGGAGGTGAGAGACGAGCATTTCTCGTCCCAGATGTCCTAGCTTTACGTGGAGAGAACGCACGAATACTTCGACTGCAGGATGATCATTCGGCAAAATTATCGGGTGCTTTAAATTACTGTCGTCACAAGAGTCTCTAAAACGACCTCCGACTCGCAATAGGTCGTCCATCAAAATTGGTCCAAGCTTTGAAGATTATGCGATTTGGGAACCTAATTATTCTTCAATTCAGGAGGTCAATGAAGCTGGAGAATGTTGCTGCCTGAATTCATTTCCAAATTTCAGCCTCAGCCGCTCCGAGTTCTGCCCCCGTCAAATCTCCCGATTTTCGAGATCCTCGCAAATAGTTATTGAATCTCAAAAACCAAGCACCTTTGAATTTCAAGCGAAACCAATCTGACCTGGATGCAAGTAACATTTCTGTTGGATTGCATTCATCAATTTCCGAGTATGGTTTTCACTGCGCTGCACTTCTTCACTTATGTATCCTCACCGTTCATTACAGTGTTGCGTCGCTTGTATGGGCCAAAATTCTTCTCGCTGTTTTAGGAACAATGGACCGGAATTCCAGTCGTGGAGTTCCTTCATCCTTTCCGGAGAAACTCCTCTGCTTATATGGTCGGCCGGGTTGAACTCGCTAGGAACGTATCTCCATTGCGCTGGATCTGTAATGCTCCTAATGAAAGCAACTCTATTGGAGACGAATCTTTGTAATCTCGCGGTTTCGTTCCAAGTATACGTCAGAACCGTTAAGCTGTCTGTACAGAAATATTTTTTCGAGGGCAATAATGTCATCTCTTTTTCGAGGATTTGATGAACACAAACCGCCAATTTCGCTGCATTCAACTCGATACGCAGGATTGTGCTCAATATAGAGTTGTTTCGCTGCGTGAGTCCTGTCCTGGCAATCAAAGGCGAGCACACAGCTGAACCGTCAGGCCTGATATTCCTTGCGAAGGCGATTGCACCGTACGCCGTTTCGCTTCCGTCTGCAGAG